GCTATAATGCCTTGATACTGATTTGTTGACTTTGTTTTGAAGAGGGCAGATAATAGAATAGTGTAGAATGATTGAATTTCATATTGTCAGTGTACATAGAAAAAAATCTAAACATACTCAAAATTTTAAAATATCTTTGGACAACAAAGTCAGTGATTTTTTTTTTTCTCCTGTTTTTTTTCCCCTAAAATAAATGTGTTAATAGTTTTGATCTCAAGGACCCCTAGGGTCCCTTACCCAAGATGAAAACTATTTGTGATAATAACCTATACAAATAGTTATTTTTGCACCAGGAGCACAAAGGTAATGGTGGGTAATACTGTTGGTGTGTTGGCAGGAGTCAAGGCAGTGCCACCAAATTAGCAGCAGTTGTTGCATGGTACACAGCAGTAGTATTATGCAGGTGTCATTTGAGAATGTCAGTGATGGAGCCAGGCATGGTGACAGGCTTGTATCCCAGCTACTCAGGAGGCTGAGGCAGGAGGATCACTTGAGCCTGGGAGTTTGAGTCCATCCTGGGCAATACAGTGAGATCCTGTCTCTAAAAAAGAAAAGAAAAATAAAAAATTTTTTAAAAAGAAAAGAATGTCAGTGATGAAGGAGTATAAATGTACTAGACCTTTACTGTTGAGTACATCTGTTTAAGGTTCTGTATGATGAAATTAGAAATACATAGAAAGCACTCCATATACTGAAGTACTGTGATTTATCTTGAAAAAAGCACTTAACGTGCTTGAGTTGTGAGTTGAACTTTTCCCTTAAGAGAACGAGTGACAAACTCGTCAGGCAAGGATACTGGCAGACGCTTCCTCAAGTGAACCAAAGAAAACAACTGACTGACTGTATTTTCTGCCAGTAATAAAATTCAGTATTTCAAACAAAAATTAAATTGGAGAAAGTTGTAATGCCACTGTGAGCTTGACAGCTTCTCACTGCCTAAAGACTTTCCTAATGAGATCTGTAATATTAATGTGATGTTTTTCATAATATTACGTAATGGAATGAATTTGATATAATGAAAAGTTTCAACATTTGGAAGAGGTGTATAACGTAGTGAACCAATAGTATCCAAAGGACCATTGCATGATGGTATAAAACATGCATGGTTAAAAATATATTCAGAGTTCAGGCCGGGCGCGGTGGCTCACGCCTGTAATCCTAGCATTCTGGGAGGCCGAGGCAGGAGGATCGCTTGAGGTCAGGAGTTCAAGACCAGCCTGAGCAAGAGTGAGACCCCCATCTCCACTAAAAATAGAAAAATTAGCTACTGGAGAGGCAGAGGCAGGAGGATTGCTTGAGTCCAGGAGTTTGTGGTTGCTGTGAGCTAGGTTGACGCCACGGCGCTCCACTCTGTCTCAAAACAAACAAACAAAAAAATGCAGCGTTCAGGGCATTCCAGTGGATTTAATGTAGCACAGCACAAAATGTTTATGATTACGGTTTCAGTTTGCATGTCGTACCTTATCTTTAAGCATCACAAAGCAAAGTGTTGGAGAGGAGGTTTGGAGCAGACAAAAGGTTAATTGGTACAGAGAGAGTCGTAATGTGGATAGTGTGGGATGGCAGCGACTAAGTACCTTAAATAGGGGTGGAATTATGAAGATATTTTACCTGGGCCTTGATAGAGACATAAGCACTTACTGGAAAGAATGGGAAGATGGCTGTTTTGGGTAAGGGAGCAGAGTATGCACGGAAGTATGAAAACGCACGGCACGAGGTACTTAAAGTCCTCTGCGCCATGCCAGAGGTTGGTGAAGACTATGAAGTTTGGTTCACACAGGCCTGACGTGATCACATTTGCTTTTCATGGTTACTGTAAACATATCCTCTTGATACACAGTTGATTATGATCGAAGGTAAGATTTAGCGTAACTGTTGCTGTAATCAGAAGATACGGGTTTTGGTGATTTGTGTTTCTGTGGCATTTTATCCTTACTAGTGCTCTGAGCTTGGATAAGTTGATCATCCTCTGTGCCTCAGTTTCCTGATAGTAAAACAGAGCTAAGAATAGCACCCGCTAAAAATGCAGTAGCCCATAGCAATGTCGTAGTGAATGCTGATTAATGCAGACGCTCTGGTGTTGGCGATGGGCAGAGGTGAGCTTCGCCCTGGGAGTCCGGTGCTGGCTGCAGAGGAAGGAGATGGGCTTGTGTGTCCAACCGAAGGCCGTTTCCAGCTCTTCTACTCCCGGCCTTTTACACTGCTGGCAAAAATCTTAATCTATGATAAACATAAAGTTATTTTTGTAAAAACTACTTTGGATTATACTTTTCTATAAAAGCTTATAAAGTAGCTTTCCTTTCACATTATCTAAGGTTTTCTTAACACAAATTTGAGCATTTAAAAAAATCTGTTGACCGTAAGTGTTCTAACAGTGTCATCTGGCCCTTTAAAAATAAAAAATCCTCTTTGATGTCTACATACATTTTTTTCCTCTTATGCCAGACTTTTCCAAAGCAGTATGCCATATGTGAATATGAAATGATAGAACTGAAAGCTTGATTAATCTTAGCTTTTTAAATATTTCATATCTTTATTTAGACATTAGCTGATAAAAACTTGAATCATGGTTGCAATTTCTGTGACTGGCAGCATTTTACTGATACTGCTTTTCTCTTGTTTGAAGTAAACTATTAGGCATTTTGAGAGAACTGTTGGTAATTATTCTACAGACTTTTTCTTGCATGGAATTTGACATTTTTAACTTAGCTCCCTTAACTTCCAAAGGTCTGTGTACTTAGCAGTGGCCTGCAAGGTAATGAGGGCCTTTACTTCTTTTTCAGATTATTTTTGATGAAAAAACTTAAAGAAGTAACAGATAAAAAGAAAGTTAATCTCTTGAAACACATAGATGAAAAACTCACAGAAGCAGCCAGAGAACTGGGGTACTCACTGGAACAGAAAACCGTGAAGATGAAACAGAGAGATAAGAAAGTACGATTTCAATCTGTTAGTCTCTGCTTTGCTGTTTAGCAGATTTTTTTCTCTTGATTTCCTCCCATGTGTACTTCACCCTTCCCTTCTCCAGCCCTACCCTCGAGAGAGCTGGGTGGCGACCCTCGGGCTCTGCCCGGGCTGCCCCATACCTGGCTGCTGGGAGGGCAGCCCTGAAGCAGGGTCGGAGCTGCTGCAGGTGGGTACACAGGTCGAGTCGCATAGCTGCTGCGGTCGCATAACTCGTGCTGGTGTTTACCACTCTTAATCTTGTTTTATCAGTTAGTCATTTCATAAAGTGAAAGCAGCTTTGTACATGGTGATGTTTTACATATGCAAATAAATTTGCTATTTAATGGCTGAGGTCTGTCGACTTAGTGCAAGGTGCTTTTGGGGGGTTCTGGAAATGCTTCTGGGTTTTGGATCCTTTTGGTTTTTCTGTTGTAAATACCAGTAAGTTAACAGACAAGCTGGAAGAATTCTGCTTTGGGGTAAATGAGAATTCTGTAGGAGTTTGTCCTTATAACCTCTGGGGAGGAAAAGCGTTTGTTCCTGGAAGGAGGACTCCCCAGTCTACTCCAGCCTCTCACCAGTGTCTGCTGTCGCTGGTTCGTCTGAATGTTACAGCCAAATGAAGGACTTGTTATCCCTGAGCAAACCAGTACTGCTAATGAAGCGCCTCAGTGTACTTAGTTATTGAAGATCCTATTTCAGTTTCTTCTCTGATCTTGGTTCAGCTGCAGCGGTGATATTCCCATAGATTGTGGGCACTAAATTGCAGTCTTAGCAATTCTTCTTTTAGTCCTAAAGACCTGAAATACTTTCTGAAAACATACATTTTAATGAAACTCAATACAATGTGGCACTTTTAAATTACTTTAAGATATTATGTTGCTATTTCACCTTTCTGGTCATTGTAAGCTTCTCCCATCTTACGACTGCAAGGAAGAGGATAGCGTTTCTAGCTTTATTGTAATTTTTTCTGGAGTAGATTTCCTTAATTCTTCCCTATAACTGTAAATCATATATGATTGGGGTTTAAATTTCATAGATATGTTTGTCCTGGCCCCCTCCCCCATGAGGTTTCTTTTTAGTATTTGTTCTTCATACAGAAACACCTGGTAAAAACAAATACAAAGAAAAAA